GAAGAAGAAGAAGAAGAAGAAGAAGAAGAAGAAGAAGAAGAAGAAGGCAGTCCTAACCAAATAAAACACTCATCCCCCCTTCTTGATAGATCTTGCTGGCAGCCAGGATGCCTTTTAGCTGTTTAAAAATCCTACCCCTTGCCAATCACTTTCGTTCTTGCACAACTGTTTTGACTGCGGTTGTCACAGCAAAAAGGTAACAGAGGAATTGCAAGGGCCAGCTCTTCTGAAAGCCAAGATTCTTGACTGAAGATCCGAGAACTGGAAAAACAGAAATATTTGGGTTTTTGTCAAACTATTTTCTTGAACTCCCTGCTTGTAGTTCAGTCTACATTCTTCTCCCTGTTTTTTTTTTTTAGTTAGGAACTCTGTCCTTTCAACCTTGCCTTCAACGTTAGGCCACCTTCCTCAAATCTCTGTGTCGAGTGCGTTCATTGGAATAGGAACCCCAGTTCACTGGTGGGGGGCTGTTTGGGTCTTCACAGGTGGGCTTACCTAGCTGAAGAGTTTGTGGGAAGGACGTTCTTTGCAGGTGGCTGCATTCAGTGCCTGCGTGTGAGAAGGAAGACTTAGAATGACTTTACTGTCACTTTGATAGTATACTAGCCGGCATAGATTAAAATGAAATTTTGTGGCGTACAACTCTCAAAAGAGTCAGCACCTCCAATATACGCTACATAAACATGACAAAAGTGTATATAAATAAACAAATAATTATGCATATACCCATATATCCACATATATTATGACACAGAGAATCAACACAGTCTAGTTTGGCTGTATAAATGTACATAGCGAGAAAAAGTAATCTTGTGAGTTTACGAGGCTGATGGCGTAACGTGTGGAACAGGCCCCCAAACCCTACTTGCTTTCTTATTAAAAAAAAAAGATGTTGACAATCTAGAAATTGTGCAGAGAAGAGCAACCAGGATGATGAGGGGACTGGAGGCTAAAACATAGGAAGAACAGTTGCAGGAACTGGGCCTGGCTAGTCTAGTGAAGAGAAGGACCAGGGAGGACAGGATAGCAGTCTTCCAGTATTTGAGGGGCTGACACAGAGAGGAGGAGGGGGTCAAACTATTCCACAAGGCACCTGAAGGCCAGACAAGGAATAATGGATGGAAACTGATCAAGGAGAGGTTCAACCTGGAAATAAGGAGGAATTGTGGGAGCTTCATCACTGGGAGCTTTCAAGAAGAGACTGGACTGCCATTTGTCAGAAATGGTGTAGGGTCTCCTGCTTGGGTTGAACTAGATGACCTACAAGGTCCCTTCCAATTCTGTTAATCTGTAAATTATCATAACGTCCTTCCTTAGACTAAGGAGTTAATGGTCTTCAGAGTTGTTTCGTATTGTGAATTTTCAAGACGCAACTTTGTCTGATTGCAGAAGGAACCGGATACAAAGGAGCGGTCAGTGTTCGATATTCCAATATTTACCGAGGAGTTTTTAAACCACAGTAAAGGTGAGCAGAACGAAATAGAAGCTCATGTTCTCTTTCTCCTTTCATGTTTTGCATGTTCTCAAAGTTTCGGTATGTGACAGTATAATGCTACCAATATCTGTTCAGGATCCCCCGTTGCATTCCATAGGGCTTACTCCCAGGGAATTGTAAACAATTTTTTTTTTATTGTTTGGGTTTTGCAGTTCTGTGGAAGTAGACGGGTTAGGTGCCCGGGGAAATACTGCATGAGTGTCAAGATCAGATGAATTTTTAAACCAGGGGTGTCCAACCTTGGCAAATTTAAGACTTGTGGGCTTTAACTCCCATAATTTCCCAGCCTGGGGAATTCTGGGAGTTAAAGTCCACAAATCTTAAAGGTTGGACACCCCTGGTTTAAAACCTTATAGGATTACTTCATTATTAAAAAGGATGATGTGATCCCAAGAAAGACATATTTTTCTGTTGCTTTATTAGAGTAAATCTTGCAGCTAATAATAGCTGAATTAAGATAATGCATTTGCCAGAAGTCGGTTGGACCCGAAACTGGCACCTTCTCTAGTGGCTCCCTATAGGACCTGTGCCATTTTCTCAGCTCCCACAATAGTCGTGCAGGCCTAGGAAAACAACATTTTTAATTCCAGAAAACAATTTGTTTTAGTTCACTGCAGAAAAAGCTCCTTGATGGAATTTATTCATTTCTTTTGCGTAAGGCATCCGCGGAAGTCATGCAATTCCTTTGTGGAAGCAATGACAGATTAAAATAAGGGTGTCTGGATCTGCATGTCTTTAATGTTTACCATTTTTCCAGAAAAGATGGGCAGCTAAATTACACCAGCATTAATCTACTGTGTGATTTCCCCTCCCTCCCCCAGTTTCCTTAGAAACCTTTTGATCAGAGTTGATAATACGTAACCGTTTGATTAGAACTCCTCCAACACAGCTTAGAGAAAAAAAGGAAATTTCATTTAATCTAATGAAATGCTAAGGGCATGTCGGACCATCTCTGAACATTTTGACAATAAATTCTTGATTGCTTGCTAAAATTAATTTAAAAGTAATTTTATCCTAAGTAGAATTCCGAAAATGACTCATCAGACCCAAACCCCAACATTTCTTCCTCTTACCTTTTAAAGACTAAGAACTTATTTAAAGAATTCGATATAAAGCTTCTAGATCGGATGGGGAACGATGGACCCTTTATGATTTGAGGACTTCAGCTCCCACAATTCCTGAACCAGGGAGTTGAAGCCCACCAATCATAAAGGGTCCATCGTTCTCCACCCCTGTTCTAGATGATATCATTGCGGCTATGCAAGCATTCTTCCAAACTTGGTTAATGTTCTTGATGGGAAGAAGAATTTAAGGCCGGGCTCCCCAACAATTGACAGCTTTTAAATGAATGGACTTCAACTGGCTGGCTGGGGAATTCTGGGAGTCCACCTGCCTTAAAAGTTGTCAAGGTTGGGAAACCTGGTTTAAGAAGAAATTCAAATTCCATTTGAAACTGTGGGGACTTCTCACTCGTTCCGCAGAATACCTTAAGCAGAAATTACCTTCCGTTCGAAAGCATGCAAATGCGAGTAGATAAATAGGTAGCCCTTCGGTGGGAAGGTAGCAGCATTCCATGCAGCTCAGCATATAAGCCATGCTGGCCGCATGACCACAGAAGCGTCTTTGGACAACGCTGTCTCCCTTGGCCAAGACACAGATGAGCACCTTCTCCCCTGATGTCGGACAAGACTAGATAGAGAAAATCTTTAGCTTTACTTTAACGACATCTCTTAATTCTACAAATCCCTTTATCTTCTCTTTCTTTGAACCGCTCCTATGGCTCCCTGGGTGATCAAGAGACGAGAAAAGAGGGGAGCGGTCTGTGGCCCAAACCTTCCCCCGCTCAGGCCGAGTCTTCTGAAGTTTAGACACGGGAGTTCTCACACTCTTCTCCTCTGTTGTTGTCAGCGCGAGAAGCCGAGCTGCGCCAGCTGCGCAAGTCCAACATGGAGTTTGAGGAAAGGAACGCGGCCCTCCAGAAGCACGTGGAGAGCATGAGGACTGCGGTGGAGAAGCTGGAGGTGGACGTGATCCACGAGCGGGGTCGCAACACGGTGTTGCAACAGCACTTGGAAACCTTACGCCAGGCTCTGGCCAGTAGCTTTGCCGGGGTCCCCTTACCAGGTGAACAATAGCGCTTAGACTTCTATACCGCTTCCACGGTGCTTTCCAGCCCTCGCTGAAGCGGTTTACAGAGTCAGCCTATTTGGGCCCCCCAACAATCTGGGTCCTCATTCGACCCACCTCAGAAGGACGGAAGGCTGAGTCCACCTTGGGCCGGTGAAAATCGAACTGCTGGCAGTTGGCAGAATTAGCCTGCAACGCTGCACTGTAGCCACTGCGCCACGCGGCTCTTGCGTCGGCCTTTAGTCGAAGTACCTCCTCCTCCGCAGGATTGTGTCCGCCGTCTTTCTTTTCACGCTTGGTTTGGATGTCTTTGATGTTTCAAATTGGAGAATGTTTAGAGATAGTTCTCCAGGTGACGCGTCCTCTCCCCCCCCCACCACCACACACACCCCTTGGGAAGGCAAATGCCAAGCGGCTGGTCTTCTGTTTCTGTTTTCCAGGGAGCGGGGAGATCCCCACCTTAGACACTATTGATTCCTACATGAATCGTCTGCACAACCTTATCCTGGCCAACCCACAGGAGAATGAGACTCTTATAGCGACAGTCCGGGAGGTGGTAAACCATCTTGAACGTTAATCACTGGGTGAGTTTCTAGTACCTGATCAGGGCCTCTGGAAAGGCAGAGCTGAACTGAACCCGCGCCGTACTAAAACCACAGGCAGCTCATAGAGCAAACTCACAGCATTTGTTCACAGATAACCAGTCCTCCCATGATGTTTTAGTTTCAGTCATGTTTATGCCTTTCTGTATTTCAAAGAATGTACGTTCTTCAAAACAACCAAAAGCAGAAGCATAGTTGCTTTGTTTCCCTTTCCTTTTTTTCTTTCCTTCCTTCTGTTTTTCCTTTTCTCTCCTCTCCTCCCCTCCGCTTCCTTTTTTCCCTTCCTTCCCTTTTCCCTTTTCTCTTCTTCTCCCCTCCCTCTTTTCCTTCCTTCCTTCCTTCCTTCCTTCCTTCCTTCCTTCCTTC